CCTTCTGGACAACTCCCCAGGAGATGTTTGGGAGCATTCAGCCACCGCTGATTTGCCCAGAGGGGAAAGCATGACAGGGCAGGCTTCCTTCTCCAAACAGGATCCAGTCAGCCGTGCCAGGCGTTTACACAGCTGAATTCCTCCTCAGCAGCCAGCAGCCATCAGGCTGGGTTCAGTCTGGGGCAGGCACTGCTAGGAGAGCTCCTGGAAGCTGCCTCTCTGCAGGTGGTTGCATGCCACAGTCCCTGTAGTGCCATCCCTAGGGTCCCTGTGGTGCCATTCCTGACATCCCCATGGCACTGTCCCTAAGAACCCCATGGTGGGTGAGCAGCATCTGGCTGTGGTGGCACTCCTGGAAAGCCACACATGGCTCTGCCCGCTGTCCCTATGCTTGGAATGGCATGGCTCCTGGTTGTCACTCGGTGCAGACTGGCTTTGGACACAAAGGGGACTGCATGGCAGCAGCTCACCTTTCTCCCTAGCAGGTCATCCCTTTCCCAGCTCCCCCGTGCATTTTGCAAGCATGGCTGGGTGCCAGCTAGCTCCTTCCCCAGCGGCTTTGCTCCTTCACGGGATGCTGGCGCTGCCACCAAGGGCTGGATGTGACTCTGGGCACCACAGCAATGGGCCACCCACTCTGGGTTTGTATGGCCATGCTGCTGCCAAGGACACTTGGGGCAAGAAAAATGGTGGCTGCATGGGAAGGGCACTTTGCTGGCCCCAGGACTTTGGTTTCACAGTGCCTTGGAGCATCTCACAGAATTTAGCATTTGTAACCAGGAGCTCACACTGTGTTGTCCTATATTTCCCAAGGTCTCAGCCCAGCTCCTAACAGGTGGAAAATACTTGCAGTGGAATAGGGAACAATGTTGTGGTGACTGCTGGGCTGTCATTCAGTAACCAGCTGCCCTGTGGCTCTGTTTAATAGCTGCCATTAGGCAGTAAATGCTTGTCAGAGGGAGCAAAGGGGCAGCAGAGCTGTGGAGGGGAGCAGGGGTGCGGAAAGGGAACGGGCATGGAGGAACTACTGCGAAAAGGGCTGCATCCAGGGGGCAGCAATAAGGAAGACCTTTGGCAGTGGCTTTGGCAGAGGGTTTGTGCGCTCAGCCTGCACTGAAGGGGAGCACCAGCCCCATGTTCTCACAGTGCTGCCCTGCCTTGGGGGCACCCTGGGCCTCCCCTCAGGCTGACAGATGAGGCTGGAGCCCCACAAGCACCCGGGCCCCTTGCTGAGCCAGCAGACAATGGGATTTGTTTGTGCTTGCTGAAGTGGAAAGGCCCCCACGGCCCCAGTTCAGCAGCACTGCCTGCACATCTCACAGGTCGAGCAGCAGGAAGATGCAGTGGGACAGTGCAGCCCTCTGCCAGTGGTGATGGCATAACCAGGGTCTGCAGTGTAGGATGGGACCTTGGCACACAAGTGAGCATCACTCCCTGAAACACGGGGCAGGTGTCCCCAGGCAGTGACAGGAGAGCCCTGTCCCTAAGGGACTGGTGAAGGAAGCGTGCACTGAGTTCAGCAGTGTGAACTGGGGACCTCCAGAGCATGCGGGGCCGCTGCGGTCAGTTGCATTATAACTGATTTCCAGTAGCCTGTAGGGTTTTCCTCCATGTGACTGATTAACACGCTCCTTCTCTGTACACGGCTCTGCTCTACTGCCCTGTCACACGTGTGCAGAACCGGATACAGCCACTAATCTGCTTCCACCCTGCTCCTGCTCTGCCTGCTAATCCTGATGCCTCCCTACTGTGTGGGTACAGCCTTACCGGTGGCTGCGAACTCATGGAGTGCTGCCAGAGGGTTTGGCCCAGAATAGGAGCCGGCTCCTCCCATCTCCGCTGAGCAGCGGACGGAGCAAAGCAGCCATGTGTGCCCCGGGGGCCCGGAGGTGCCCCTGACATGCCTGCTGCATTTGATGGCCCTGCCTCCTGCTAGCAGGCTGCAGGCAATACAGGTGGCTGGGGCTGCTCTCACTTCTGCAAAAGGCCTTTCTGTAAGAGGAGTGCCCCAACAGCTCCGTGCCCACAGCTGTTCTGCCAGGCATCATCGGGGCACCCCAGAGCCAAAGCAGTCCATCATTCAGTTCCCACTGGGAGTCTGTGGCACGACCCTGTGTTGGCCACTTGATTTGGGGTGGAAAGCGTGGATGTGGGATGGGGACAGGATGGCACGCAGCTCCCCACTCCCTGCCTACCCACAGTCCATGTCCTCGTGCTACCTCAGTTTCTTGTCTGTGGCAAATGAAGGGGAAAGGAGATGGCATCCTGCAGGAAGAGGGGGTGGGTTAAGGAACGTATGGCTGCAGAGCGCTTGCAGAGCTCAGCGTGGGCGCCAAGTGGCAAGGCTCCTTAGGACGTGGAGTGCATACAAATAGTAACTATCTCCTCATGTTCTAAAACTCGCATTTTGCCCAAGAGGTACAAAGAATACTTCTCCAGTTCATGTGATGCATTACTACAGCCTGGAACGAACCTCACGTTTCACTCTCGCCTTCAAAAGCAGCTGTTTGTTTGCCTTCCTGCTTGAATTTGGTTGCTTCAGTGGAAGCAGGGAGTTGCTACAAGGAAAAAAAAAAAAAAAAAAAAAGGCAGCTTTGTGCAATGCTTGGCAGCAGGCATATCTGAAAGGGGAGCATTTTTCCTGTTTATTCTCCTGTTGAAAACCAGTTGTGGGCACAGCATGCAAATTGGGCTCCAGGTGATGGCGTTGGTCTGCCTGTGGTACACAGCTGAGGTTTGGGAAGGAACACCCCCAAATGAGCAGCACCAGTGGAATCCCATATTCTGTAAGGAAGAGGCTCTGCTGCTTGTCTTCCCTTGGCTCCAACAGCACAATGATCTGCCAGCAGCAGCACTTTGGCAGCACAGTGCTCCATGGAGAGGGGAGTGCTGTGATCTTGGCCTTGCTCGGCACTGCTTTGTGCTCCATGTGCTGCAGTGCTGTGGTGCAGTTGTAGTGCTGGTACTGGCTGCTGGGTGAGGCACCAGCTGTGCCTGGCCTGGGCAGGAGCGCTTTTCTCAGCTGTTGGCTTCTCCTGGGAGCTGTTATTGTGTGAGCTTGGCAACACCAGAGTTGCTCAGGAGCAGCGCTCTGCACAGGCACCGCACCCAGCCAGGATGGAGCAAGGCATCACGGTCCCACAGCTGGGTGTGCGTTGGCCCACGTGGGTTTGCTCAGCACAGACCTTCATGGAAGGAAGCATCTCCCTCGGTCTGCCCCAAGGCCACATGCTGGGACACCTCCACACATCGCCGCTGCAGCTGGGTGTGCTCTCCTGGAGGCTGCAGCACCCATCCGAGGTGAGAAGCCGGGTGACAGCGCTGTGTCCTGGGACATCCCTGAGCCCAAGGCTGGCTGTTAGTGGGATCTCCCATAGCCCTGAGCCACAGCCCTGGGAATGTGGTGAGGGGCAGAGCAGGGAGCTAGGCAATGTGATCCATCATGTTGAGATGGTAAGAGCTGTGCACGCTGCTGCTGGGAGCCTGGGGTGAGGCAGCTGCACCCCCACTGCTCTTCCTGCAGAGATGTAATGGAAAATTGGGCTGAGATGTGGTGGTGTTTCTCCTCCTGACAGTATCCGAGAACTTTATCACCACCAGATCCTAGAAGCCCTTGTCTGCAGGGCATTGATTGCCATAGCTTTTAGCTCAGATAGGAGTCTATAAATAACACTAACACTTTATCGATGCTGAAATGCTCACTTGTGCTGCAAGCATGACCCTTCAGCTGGAGGCACAGGGCCCGGATCAGGACAGTACAAAGGCCCCCCCACATCCCACAGAGCCCACATGGCCCCACAGCTAGCAGTGCAGCAGATCTCAGAGCTGGAGGGGTGATGCTGGGTATCTCAAAGCAGTGCCATTGTAGCTTCTGCTTTGCTTTTTTCCTTCTCTATGCATTTTGGGGTGACGCTCACCCCCTTTTTTTTTTTTCCTTGACTGCTGGGGAGAGCGGGGAGAGAAGAGCAGGGCTGTGCCTGCAGCTCGCCCCGAGTAACACCTTCCCAAGCGGGGCTGCTGGGGAAAGCAGGCCGGGAAAGGCAGCCGCGGGCAGGGATGTGTCATTGCCTGCAAGTCGCCGCAGGAGCTTAATTGCAGATGGGAGCTTTTAAATTTAATTTGGTGTGATACGGATCTCCCGGTGCGCAGCAGCTCCTGCCCTGTTATCCAGCAGTGCTCCGGGCCGCCTGCTCGGTGTGTGTCGTTCAGAAACACAGAGCTGTAACAGATGGCCGATGTTTGCCACCGGGCAGTGGGAGAGGTGCTGCCGAGCAGGGCAGGAGAGAGGGCACCTCCTGAGGGAGACATCGGTGTCACCACTGCCTTTTTCTTAGAGGACTTTTGCTCACACGGAGGTGTTTTGCAGGTCTGGTTTGGAATGAAAGCACGGTGTTTGGCTGTGGTTCTGAGGGGAGACGCGTCGTGTTGAGAGCTTGTGGGGAATCTGCAGGAACACTCGGCAGCGTCTAATTTCCAATTTTAATTTCTAACCCGAGCTGACGGCTGCCTGCAGGGAATGTTCTGTTTGTTAATGCAGAAAGCACTGGGAGCGAGCTCCCAAGCTGCAGTCCCTGCCTGCGGCTGCGTGGTGGGGCGGGAGATGGGAGCGCTGGGAGCAGCAGTGCCCTGAAACACCGCACCTGAGACGTGTAACCTTGATACGTGTGCGTACAAAGTACCCTGCTCGGTGAGAATGTACCTTTGCACTTAAGCAAAACTATAGGCTTTGAACGACGGCGGAGAAGGTCTCCACCTCGATCGATTACTGTGGGCTGCGTGAGCCCGCCCGTCCCGGAGCCTATGCCGGACACGCGGGCACCGCGCTGCTTCGGGCACGGGGCGAAACCCCACGGGCTTCGCCGCGCACCGCAGCAGCCCCGTGCCGGGGGTGTCCCGCGGGCCTCCGGGGGCGGTGCGAAGGGGGAGGGCCGGCCCACGGAGAGGGCTGGGCGGCGCGAAAAGCGGAGCGGCGCGGCGCGGCCCGGCCGTGCGGCGGCACAGAGCAGGGAGCTGCAGGTGGGTGCCGGGGGCGGCCGGCCGGGGCTGCTCTTGTCGCGCGTCCGGGCTCGGGGAAGCTCCGGCGGAGCGGGGACCGCCTGGCTCTGACGGCGGCGCCCGGCCCGGCCCCCGCCCGGCGCGGAAGGCGGCAAAACGGAGAGGAAGAGATTGCTCCGAGCGGGCGGACTGCCGAAACGGTTGGGGCGGCGGGGACTCGGCTCTCAGGGGCGAGGGGGGGAGGGGAACGGGGACGGGGCGAGCGCCCGCGAGGGATGCTCGGCGCTTTGGCCGCCGCATGGGACGCGGGGTTTTTTCCCTCGCGCGGGACCGCCGAGTTCCCTTCCGTAGTTCTCGGCGGAGCAAAGCGCGGAGCGCGCCTGCCGGCGTGCCGGGCCCCGGGCGCGGCTGGGTGCGCCGCGGAGCTCCGCCGGGGCCGTGCCCGTCCTCCCGCGCGGCTCTCCGGGGCCGCCCCGATCTGCGGGAAGGCGCGTCCGGAGCCACGTGCCGCCCGGCCCCACGTGCTGCCTTTCCCCCCCGCTTCTCCGCCTCCCCGCTTGGGAATTCTTCTTGTGGGGCCCCGAGCGGAATTGCCCAGGTGCCGCGCGAGGAGATGCTCGCGGCCGGCCGCGGCGTGAGCGAGAGGAGCCAACAAGTGTTCCTTTGTGAATCGGGTCTGGTGTAGGAGCGCAGAGAGCCCCATTTGCTCTCTGCCGTGCTGTCCTCCCCACCTCCGCCGTCACTCCCCAGCCGTCACTCCCCAGTCTCGGAGACAGGCGGCCGAGCTGCGGTGCTGTGGAAAGAGGCGGAGGCTGAGCCCAAGGGCTGTGGGATCTCACACAAGCGAGCCTGTATCCTTCAGCCCTGAGCATTCCCAGGGCTGAAAGGCAGGAGGGATTCGTGCAGCTGTTGGCCACAGCTGGATGCGCTTCCTCGCTGCTGCGAAGCAGGAAGCAGCTGGGATGCCCCGCAGTTGCCTGTGGCGAACGGATACAATTGAGAGGACTTTTGTGGACGCTGCTATGGGAAATCCCACTCCCCTGCAGCAGAGCATCCCAGCCTGGCGGCAGTGTTTCCGCTCCCAGCTCCTGTGGGCTGCCGGCCTGCCTCGTGCTCCTTTGGATCTGCTCCAGTCTGCAGAGCTAACCCGGGGTGTGATGGCACAGTGTGCTTTTCTCTCTGGTTGTGCAGCTGTCTGAGAACTGTTCGGTACAGCAGCAATGCACACATCACACCTGCATCCTCCTGAGTGCTGCTGCTGCCTTTTGCTTCCAGGTTGGCTTGCTCTCAGGTCACTGAGAAAATGCTGAAGAGCTGTGCCAGGTACCCAGAGTGAGGAGGAAGGGAGATGAGGATGAAGCTTACTGCATCCTGGCCCAGCAAATGGACCTGGTTCTTGGGGTAGAAGGACACTTCCATCCTTCAGTTGTTACTCCCTGCACTGCATGATTAAACGCTGGCATCGTTTCCCCATCGTGGCATCCCTGCTCTCATTATCTCAGGGTGAGATGTTGTTAATGAGCCTCCTCCTCTTTGAAGCTAAGCCACAGGCTTTGTTTCTGCCCTGCTGTGACCTTCTTGTGGGCCGGGAGGAAACCAGGGTGCAGAGCACAAGGCACCTGCTTGCCCGTGGCTGCTGCCCTCACTGACCTGTTCCATTCGGTTCCTGGGCTAGGACAGGGCTCACAGTGGCCATACAGTGAAAGGGCACTGGGAGCAGCCACCTCCCCTGGCCAGGTGGCACGGCCCTAAGCAGGGCCTTTGGGAGGCTGGCAAGCACCCTCTGGTGTTTTTCTGGGATGAACGCTCACCTCAGTTGTTTCTCATCCAGCGTAACAGCCAAGACCTTGGGAATTGTTAGGGAAACTGCAGAACGCATTCTTTACTGTCAGCTGAGCACTGTTTGCTTGCATTTGTTGCTAATTTAATCTGATCCCAGAGTGCAAACTCCATCGACCTCTGCACATCTTCCTGAGCACCCCCAGCACCGAGCTCTTCCCACTGACATCTATACCAGCCTGTTGCTGTTCCTGCTGGTGCTGCTGCTGTGCAGGGTAGGGAGCAGCCACTAGGTCAGTGTTGAGCAGGCAATCTCGCTGCCCGCTGGGTCACAGCAAAGCAGCCAGCAGGAAGCCCGGCTGATTGCTGCAGTTTTGCCTTCTTCCCATCAGTGCCGCTGGGATTTGTTATAGTTCATTTCCTTTAGGATTTGCCTGATGGGAAAGCACCTCGCTGTGAAGTTTCCAGTGCTGGCATCAACAGCTGGAAATGCACTCAGCAAGCAGTCTGTGGAGCCTCGAGGAGAGGCACGTGGCAAGGAGCAGGATAACGGGGGCAGATGGGCTGAAGCAGAGGTGGTATGCACTGCTCAATTTGACAGGGTTGCAGTACCCTGCAAACTTGTGCTACTGCACGAATGCAGTGAGGACTTTAGGGCGTGCAGCTTGGTCTGAGGGTTTTTTTGGGGAAACCGTGGGGATTGTTCCAGGGGAACGGGTGGTGACCATGGCTGGGAGATTAGGGTTGTGGGAGCAGAGTGCTGTGCTGTGCTGTGCTGAGGGCTGAGCAGTCTCAGACAGTTGGGCCCTGCAGCTGTGCAGTGCTTGTAGATGTTGCGTTGGTTGGTTCCTTGCACCATCCTGCCGAGAAGGGCTGCATTACCCACAGCTGTGGGAGGCTGTGCTCTTAGCTGCAGCTCAACAGAGCTATTAGGAAGCAATCCATCCTCCCCTGCAGCTCCTCCTTCCCCTTCATACACCCTCACCAGCCTTCCCAGCAGCAGGTCTCACAGCTGCCCTCATTCCCCCCTGCTCCCCACATTAACACTGAGGAGGCTCAGAGGCAGGCACTGTACTGTGAGCCAACACCAGACATAACATTCTGTCTGCAATAATGTATTTCTAAGCGCTGTTCCCGCATGAGCAACATCAGGGCTGGCCACAGGCTGGGCATGGTGCCCCCGAGGATGTTCGTGGTGCAGCCGGGCTGCGGTGTGCCGGGCAGCAGCTGCCTGCAGGGATGTGGCAGCAACCAGAGGGGCTGTGCCCTGCCCGTCCCTGTCTTGTGCCTGTGTTTATTCCTGCTGCTCGTGGGAGAGAGCCCGAGGTGCTGCTTTTCTGGGATTTGGGCAGAGGTAGGAGGGAGCTGCCCGCCACCCTGCTCTGCCCCACTGGCATAAAGGCTTTCCTGTCCCACAGCTGAGTGGGAGGTTTATTCTCTGACTTATTTCCTCCAGTGTGTGTGTCTGCCTTGAGCCAGCGATGTTCTGGCTGCACATTGCCCTCACTCTTGTGGGGATGGCTGTGCCACTGTTGTGTCCCCATCCATCATAAAATGGCAGCAAGCAGCTGAGGATGGCTCAGGCTGTGCAAAGTGCTGTGGCCCTATGAGGAGTGAGCTGATCCCTGGTAGCTGGCAGCTGCATTGCGTGGGCCGCAGCGGCTGCCAAACCTGCTTTCCTGCCTGGCATCCCATTTCCAGCAGGGCTGCAGGCATTGGGTGCCTAACGCAGCGGTCAGCCAGGGCACCCAAAATAACATATGTATTTCTGTCCTGCGGCAAGGAAGGGAGCCTCTCCCCTGCCCGTTCCACTGCCCTGCAGGCTGCCAAAGGCCAGGTGGCCTCCTGAGTCCTGCTCATGGTCTTGCTGGTAGGTGTAGCCCTACAGCCCCAGGAGGAGGAGCTGTGTGGCTCACCCTCCCCGTTCCGGAGCCCTGGGCTCCCTCTTGACCCAGCCTGTCTGGGTTTCGTGCCTGGCCTTCACCCTTATCTCCAGACCCATCTGGCCACGGGTGTTTGCCTCACCTCTGTTGCCACATGCTTCTTCCTTGGGGCTCTCCCCTCTGCTCTGGGGGTGCCTGTGGAGCAGGTCCAAGCATGGCCCATGGGGAGGCAGCCGTATAGTGGTGCAGCTGGGGCAACTCTGCCCTGCTTAGTGGCTGTCCTGGTGGCAGTGGTCTGTGTCACTGCTGCATTAATCGCAGCAAGGAGGACCCACTCCAACCTGGGGCTGCACCTTATGCTCCCAGCTGATTTTTACATTACTGGCATCCTGCCCTTCATCCCAGGGGTCCCATTGGGTTTTCTTGATTGGGGAACGGAAACTCTGCTTCCTCTCATTGTGCCTCTTCCTGCCACAGCCCTGGGATGACCCCTTTGCCCCAATATCCCCCCAGAGCCCATGGGGTTGTTGGCTGCAGAAGAGACAGGCGGTGATGTGGGGCAATGTGCCCACTGCACCACGTCTTCTCCTTAGTGCTGTGGTTGTGTGGTGGGAGCTTTATAGGGCCCTTGCCTCCATTTGCCCTTCCCTCCCCACCCATGCAGCCCCTCTGAGGACTGCCTGGGAACCTCAGAGATGGTTCACCATAGACTCTGCTCTTTGTTGGTTTCCGCAGATGCGTTGAATGGAGCCCTGAGCAAATTCCTTTCTCCACCCTGGGGAGAAAAGGGCTTTATTCATCTCATTTTCCTACCCAACCCTGGAAAACTATGACCTCTTCCCAAGCCTTCCACAAGGCGCCGTGTTGTGGAGTGAGTGCCCTTCTCTGGGAGCTGCTGGTGCCAGCATACGTCTCACTGGTCTGCCTCAGGGAAGGCATTGCGGGTCTGTGCATTCAGAAGCCAGTGCTGCAGTCAGCTGTCAGCTTTTTGCCTCTGCCTTCTCTCTGTGTCCCACCATGAGCAGGGTGGCAGAAAGCCCTCGGGGCCTTGGCCCCATCCTGGTGTGAGGGGGTTCTGCCTGGAAGCTGTCTGGAAGGGACCTGCCAGTTCCTGGCTGCAGATGTTCTCCTGAGAGTGGCTTATCTCTGCCTCTCTGACATCGGCTCTATCTGGGAGCTCCCTCTCCCTGCGCAGAAATGACGTGGTGCCTTCCATCTCCTTTCCCCCCCCCCAGGCCCTCTATCTCCCCTCCCATCTTCAAAGTGCTGCCCTTGGAGCCAACGCCTGCTCAGAGCTTTGCGGGGCTTTACCAGAGTCCTGGAGCTAGCAGGATCCAGGGGCGAGGCCCAGCCTGCCTTCCTGGTAAGTATCTCACTGGCATTAAAGCTCCCACCCTGGGCTATGGGGGGATGGTCAGTGACCCTGCTTTGGGGAGCTGCTCTTGCTGGGATGCCAAGCGGTGGCGCCCATCTCTGCTGTGGGGCTGCTTGAGTGCCAGGAGCAATTCACTGGCTGATGAACAGGCATTGGGGTGTGCTGAAGGGTCAGGTGTGTGCAGTCTGTCAGGGCTGCTCTGCTCGGGCCTCCCCCCTGCTGCTTGCCTTGTGTTGCTCCCTGTGTTCAGCCAGCTCTGTGGCAGAGCTGGAAACGCACTTGGCATCCAGAGCGGGGACGTGGGGACTCTGGTCGTGGGGATCCGCTGCCAGGAAGAGGAATTTATGGGCAACAGTGACCATGCATGCAGTCACCGAGGTGCTGCTGATGGCAGGTGAGCGACCTGACGCCAGGCATGTCACAGGGGTATAATTGGCATGCTGAGGACAGAGTGTGCTTTGCCTGTCAAATTAAACACATAAATGGAGGGTGTGATAAGAGCCCTCCTTTCCGGCTTAATTTACGCACATGCCTGGGTGGCTGTACCTGACAGAGGCCCCTGGGAACTGCTTGGGGCTCCTTGAGCAGCCCTGATAAGGGACTGCAGGCAGCTGCTGCATGTGACTCAAAACATACAGCAGCACTGGATGCCCCCCGCCTCCGTGCAGCACCCGGCAGCTGAGATAAGAGCCCCATGTGTTGGCAGCGAGGATATCCAACCCATCTCCTGCCCAGTGAGGAGGCAGTGGGGATCCTGGGCTGCAGGCTCAGGGAGAGCAGCCTTCCCTTCTCCCAGCGGGCGGAGGGGGTAGGGTGAAGCGAGCTCCAGGCTGACATGGTGTCTTGGAGCTGGGATGCTTCCCTGGGAAATGCTGAGGGGTAACAACTGTGTACCATGCATGGCCCTCAGTGGGGCTGCAGAAGTACTTTCTGCCTTGTGATATAAAGGGGAGGGGGAAAATGTGACGCTGGTTTCTAAGAAGGGCTGGTAAGAACTTCGGGGAAAAACGGGCTGGTAATGCTGTTTGTGCTGCCTGCCACAGCAGCCCAGTAAGCCCCTGGGTACACAGCTTTGCAAAACACATTCAGGTCTTTCAGCCCAAGTTTTAGGGAGGGAAGGTCTTCACATGGCTCAAACACTGGTGAAAAACAGGAAGCAGGGCGTAGGAGTAAGTGGTCAGTTTCTGCGGTGGAAGGAGATCACTGTGTTCAGTCCCATGCTTTTTCAGCAGTCATGAGTGACCTGGAAAAGGGAATGAGCAATGAGCTGACAGAGTTTGCCTGATGCTATCGAATTACTCAGGTTTGTGGGGACAAATGCCAGCTACAGAGAGCACAGAGGAGCGTTACAACAACAGGCAGCAGGAGGATGAAATTCAGTTTAGATAAATATCGAATGATACGCAAAGGGAAGTCATCGTCCCAAATCTAAAGACAAGGTTATGCCCTGAGCTGACCACTCGCAGCAAGACCTGGGGTTATTTCATATAGCTCTGTGGGCAGCCAGGGTCATAAAAACACGTCGACTCCCTGAAGAAGAGCCTCTGTCACTCCTCGTGAGTGACAAAGCACAAACAAAGCAAGAGAGCCTTGTGCCATCGCCCCAGTCCACCGCTCCTATTGTGGCCCCACCATCTCCAAAAGGATCTGGGAAAAGATTTGGAGAAAAGCAGCAAGGAGGATCAAAGGCACAGAGCTGTTTCCCTATGACTAAGTGAGCTAGAATTTCTCTGTTTGGAAAACATGATGTAGGGTGGCTGGGATCCGCGCCTGGAGAGAGCCTGGAGAGTCATGGCTGGCATGAAAAAGGGGTCCGATGCGTGTCTAGTGTGAATCAAGAGCAGGAGCTAGCAGAGCTGCCCGTAGCAATGCTGTGCCATGGGGGAGGTTTTTGCCACAGGGTGCTGAAGGGCTCCCAGATTGCAAAGGAAGTAGAAAAGCTCACGAAGTGAAACCTTCTGTGGGTTATAAAACATAGAACAAGCTGAGTAGCGGAACTGCTTGGAGATGGGAGAGCAGTCAGGGTGTTGTTATCCATGCCTGTGCTGCTCTCATACTTAATCGGTGCTGACTTTAGCCCTCTGTTGGACTCTGGTTTGCCACAAAGCGTGGCCCCCACTTTGAGTTGCTCCTGGTCCAGCTAGACAGGCAGCCATGCAGATCTGCCTCTTGGGAAAGGCAGCAGGCGTGCTCACAGCTGGCGATGGAGGTACTTGGGATGGTGACTACAAATGAAGAGACTAGACTGGCATGGCCAGAGCAAGGTAGGGGAGCCTACGTGTTACAGTAAATTGGTTGTTGAGGAAACTCACTCAGACTCAAGTTGGAGTGTTAGAAAGCAGGCATTCATTATTCTCAGCTCTGGATGTACAAGGGGATCTGGCTGGAGGTGGAATCTTGAAGCTGAATCCCAGCCACCAGAGTTTCATGTGACTTGCACGTTTGTCAGGACTGCTCCCTGCCTGCAGGCAAACCCCGCTGGCCCCAGAATGGGCTATAAGCCTGGGGAGGCATCTGGCCCTGCCCCGCCTTGGTGGCACCAGTAGGAACTGTTGATCACATCCCTGCAAAGCGAGTAGCAGCAGGAGGGTGCTGAGGTGCTTGCAGCTTGCCTGCATGTAGCCCCTTCACTGAGGATGGCGAAGGTGGCAGAAAGGGCTTGGCTTTAACAAGCTGGAGGAGACCCATTGTATCCCTACCACCGCCATGGAACTGCTCCACCACAGGAAGCCGGACATATTCTCTGCTTTCCGTCAGCCAGGCAGCAGAGCAGGAGAAGGGCGATGCGTGAGAAAGGAAATCTCCAGAGCTGGGTGACAAACTACTGCCTGCAGGCGTGGCTGTCCTGCAGTGCCAGTTTTTCTGCAGAGGTTGGGCGTTTTGTGCCATGGCTGTCCCTGCTGTGGGTTCTCGGGCATTGGCCCAACAGTAGGTGTCACCCAGCATGTGCCTGAGCCTTTGTGCTGAGTAAACGGGCAATTACAATTGGGCTCTCCATTGTTTGAATGTGGTCAAAGGGGACAGCTGCTGTTTGCTTAGCAGTTCGTGCTCTTTTCTTGCTCCTTCCGTTCACACATCACTTCCACACTTGCAATGAACTGCTCCGTGCCTGGGAGTAAGCGGATGTCCACACGCAGAGGCCTTGAACTGCTCCTCCTTTCCCATGCCCTCGTGGCAGGGCAGATGGCTGAGGTCCTTGGAGGTGCTGGGGGCTGAGGATGCATGGAGCACTATCCCTGGTCTGTTGTCACAGGGTTGCTCTGGATTTGTGATTGTAGAGCTGCTCTCACCTGGTTGGAGCACCGTTGCCACCTGTTGCTTGTGTTGGTTTGTTTGATCTTTTCTGTTTACTATAGTGTTGTTTGTAAGAGCTGTCAGCTGGACGTGTTTCCAGCCGTAATGAGCACTGACCCGCATGCCCCTTGGCATGGATTGTCTCTTAGTGGAAAAAAATTAGAAGGCATTTAGCAAAGTGAGACAGAAAACAAACAAAGCTGGTAGGAGGCTGCGGCTGGGCATTGCTGCCAAGGAGGCCGGGCTGTTGATGAAGCACAGAAGCAGGTGGTGGTGGAAAAGACAGCACCAGGGAAGCACTCCTCAAACCCCAGTCCTGTCCTGCTGGCTCCTGCCTGCTGCTCCAGCACTGTCATGCCCTGCATGCTGCTGGCTGCCTGCCCGCTGTGGTACCTGACACCTCTCCCTCCGCCTCCTCTGCAGATGCTGTCAGGGGCACATGGCTCTGGCCCCTGTGACCTGAGTACTCTTGAGAATGGTGGGGCTGGGGAAGAAGGGGGAAGGGCACTGCCTTCAAATTCACTGGGCATAGGGTGGGATCAGTGATTAGGGCTTGCCCTGGCACCGGCCTTCGCGCTTGTGTCTGCGGCAGAGCTCCCTTCTCTGCTCCTCAGGACAGCACTGTCACCCCAGGGAAGATGGGGGGTGGTCTGGGAGTAGAGCTGAGGCCTTGTGTGGGTGAGGGGCGGCCTGCTGAAGGCTGCAGGGTGCGCTGGAGCTTTCCACCTGTTTCTCAGGGACAACAAGTGGCCCCGGCGGTATTTCTTCCTATGGGGATGACAGTCACGCTCGCAGGCCCCCTGCTAATCCAGTGCCAGGGAGCAGGCTGCCTCCTGCCTGCAGGGATGCTGGCAGGCTGCCAGGAGGGGATTTTCAGGAGGGGATTTTACTGCACTTTCTATGGAAGCATTGGTGGCTCACAAGGGCAAACGGGAGCTGTCTCAGTCTACATGGGAAGATAGGAAGCCGTGCTGCATCAGGCTGCTGGGGCTGTGGGTACGCTCTGCTGCCATGCCATGCACAACCTGCAGGACTGCACTACCCCTTGCCACCTTCCTCTGCAAGGCAGTTGATATGAAGGATGTGAGCCGTGCCTGGAAGCACACGCGCTCCTCCGTTGCCTTTAATGTGGGCTGAGCCTTGCTCGAACTACAGATCCCAGCATGCTGCTTTCTGCCGGCTCCCGTGGCCGTCCTACCTGGCAGGCAGGCTGCTGCTGGCAGGCAGGGATGCTGCAGCCCACAGCCGAGCAGGAGAGGAGGGAGGCCGAGCAGGCGGCTGAGGGAGGGCACGGTGCGGGGGGTTGAGCACGTGGAGCCCTGCTGCAATTGCTTGGAGAAGTGGATGAATGCCCCATGCTGCGCTGTCCTGAGGGGAAAACAACGAGGCAGGCCTGTGGCTTCTGCGGGGGGCTGATTCTGCTATGCCTGAGGGGTAGGGAGGGGGCCGAGGGATGGGGTCTGGAGCAGGGGCCCCGGGGCTGTGTCTGTAAGGGCAGGTGCTTATGGGGAAAGCACTGCTGAGTGGCAGCAGGGGCCGGGCCCAGAGCAGGGGGTGCTGAGAGGGAGTGAGCAGTACCCGGGGTGCCCTTGGCTTTCCTAGGAAGGGCTGCTAGAGCCTCATGGAAGGAGTATGTGGAAAAGAAGGGTTTGTGTGTTTCTGACCTGAGAAACCTGGATAAAACGTGTCCTTTGTTCCTCTGTACCTCCAAGGACGTGGGGAGGGCAGGGGGGAAGGACACAGCCCATTGCGTGTATGCTTCGGTCACAGCCTGAGGATTGAGGGCAGAGTCACAGGCTTACAAATCCTTTAAGATCCTGCAGTGGAGTGGCAGGTGGCTGGAGTGGAGCAGCACGGGCATGTCATGGGGGCAGGTTTCCTTTTGGAACGACAGGCTCGGCGTCCCCTGAGCAGTAGCGTAAAGCCCTGTGTCACAACCCCTCAGCTAAGGGCTCTGAGCCATAGGTCTCCCAAGCTGCTGAGCAATGCTATTGCTGTTTCCTGACGCTGTGTAGTCCCGCAGAGTCAACCAGGCCATCAGGTTAATGCCAATGCTGCCCCTGCTTGGCCTCATTCCCTCGTAAAGCCCTCTGTTTGCTTTCCAGAGAGCCACCACAAGACTTGCTGGGACCCGTGCTGACCCTCACCACGCACAATGACAACAAGAGATGGACCACAGGACAGGTAATGCCAGGCTGTGGGGTGGGGGCACATTCAAGATACTGGGAAATCTGGGATAACGTGGGGCTCAGCACCTGGGGGCTTGGGGCACTAAGTCTCACTGCTAGCCCTATGGATGTGTGCTCTCTGGCCAGGCAGGGAGCAGCTACTCCATCTCTGGCTGTGGAACCCATTCCCTAAGATGCTCTATCAATTTTTCCAAAACAAATGGGCTGTAAACAGTCCCTAGCGTTGGGACATGGCCCCGCTGTTCCTGGCTGGCGAGGCTCCCTCCCAGCTCTGGCAAGGGTCGCTGCGTGGCTGGGTGCCACATGTGGGGAGTGTCCTCTGCCTTCACAGCTTTCTGGAAACCCCCCCTCTTGGCCACATTTACTCAAAAGAGCCCAGGCCAGAGACAGGATAACAGATGTTTTGTGCCGTCCTTTATCAAGAATCTCCTCTGCTTATTAAGAGCACTGGACCCACAGATGATGCCAGATTGTGAATTTCATCCTCCCTTCTTTGCCTGGTGCCTTTCACAGTGGGCTTGGAGACAGCCAGAAGTGACGCCTGTCCCCTGCCCTGCCTGTCGTCCTGCTCCACACTTCTCTGCCTCCTTTGCAGGTACAAGGCTGTCTGGTTGATCTTCTTTATCCTTGGCCTGGGAACGCTGCTGCCATGGAATTTCTTCATGACTGCCAGGCAGGTGAGGGCTTGCCCTGGCACTGATCACCTTGTGCCACCTCTGAACACCAGGCAGGAGGCAGAAGTGTGGGTGATTTGCATGGGATGCGTGGCCCTGAGGTGGCAGGAGGGGTACTGGGCTGGGTGTGGGGCTGGAAAGAGCTTATGGGTGACCTCTCTTGGAGGACCTCAGCTCCACCTGCTTCCTTTTCCTTGCAGTATTTCATCGACCGCTTGGCAGACCCACAGAACACAAGCTGCCTCTCAAACCAGACCAGCATGGGCACTGCCTCAGAACTCTCCTACCTGCAGTCCATGTTTGACAACTTCATGACTCTCTGCTCCATGGTGCCCCTCCTCATCTTCACCTGCCTCAACTCCTTCATCCATCAGCGGTGAGCCCTGCCCTATCCTTGCTCTTGCCAGCTCCCACATCCTGACTTGACACTGTGCCAAGCCATTCAGTCCAAAGGCAAAGCTTGGTTCTCCTGTGCTGTGGTTTGGCTGCAACTACTGCAAGAGAACTTTGCAGACCTCTAGGTGCTGGGCTGTCCTCACCCACACCACCCTCTCTTGCAGGATTCCCCAGCAGATCCGCATCTCAGGCAGCCTGGTGGCCATTGGGCTGGTGTTCTTAATCACTGCAATTATGGTGAAGGTCACCATGGAGCCTCTTCCCTTTTTTGTCTTCACCATGATCAGCATTGTCTTCATCAACTGTGAGTAAGGCATCGGGAAAGAGCCCAAGGAAAAGAGGAGGTTGGGTACCCTCCCTGGTCCTACAGGGCTGTGACACTGGCTCCCCACAGAGGTGCAGCCCATCCTTGCCTTTGGTTTCTCATCTGCTTATCTTTCCCTTTGCAGCCTTTGGCGCCATGCTGCAGGGCAGCCTCTTTGGCCTGGCCGGGCTCCTGCCTGCCAGCTACACAGCTCCCATCATGAGTGGGCAGGGCTTGGCAGGCATCTTCGCAGCTTTGGCAATGATAATCAGTATCAGCAGTAAGTAATCCCCACCCTGCAGATGACAATGCATTACTGTCAACAGGGGGCAGTGGGGTCATGCTGGACCCCCTTGGTGTGGGAGATGGCTCCTCTTGCCCCTCTTCATCCTCCTCCTTTTCCTCCGTATCTCCTCTCTTCCTGTGCTCCCAGTTGGTGCTCAGCAACCAGAGAGTTACATTGGTTACTTCACCACGGCTTGTGTGGCGATTCTGCTGGCTGTCGTCTCCTACATCCTTCTACCTCGCATGGTAAGACTTTATTTTTAGTGGGGAAGAGCATGAGGAAATGAGACCTTTGCACATCCCAGCACAAGAATCTTGGTCCAGCAGCACCACAGCTTCTGTCAGCCTCCACCTCCTGTGTCAGGGCAGGACGCCCAGTGTCCCAAAGCAGCTCTCTGTGGTACTTCTCACCTCAGATACCTGTGGTATCCTTAGGATAATGTGGAAGTAGGCCTCTGAATGAGCAGGAGAAGCATATATGTCAGACACAAGTGGAAGGAATACTTCGTCCATCTTGCACTGTTTGCCATTATCAACACAGTCTCAGGTGCCGGTTCCCTGGCAGCCTTCTTTCTTCACACTTGACTGAGTTCTCTGTGGTTGTGTATCTGCAGGATTTCTTCCGGTACTACTCCATGAAGGACAAGACAGAGTACTGTGTGTACAACGCAGAGCTGGAGACCAAGAGAGACCTGATTAAGAAAGGTGAGGGGCTGAGAGGAGAAGAACAAAGGAAGAAGAGCTGAGAGGAAGACTGAGACAGGACTAAATTAGATCCCTGCTTTGTGGGGTCTGTTATGCCCTGTGTTTGTTTTTCCCTGCAGATGAGCCCAATGGGATGGAGCAGAATAACTCAAAGATCATCCCTGTCCACAATCCGGATGAAAAGCCCTCGGTCATCTCCATTTTTAAGAAGGTCTGTGAGTTGGCAGCAAGCCCTGTGCTTCTCCTTGTGTCAGGGTATGAACACAGGTGCAGGAAGGCATGGGGAGAGAAGACCACCCCTGCACTGGTCTCTTGCCCTGTGTCTGGTACCAGCCTCTTTCTTTTATCTTCCTAGCTCTGGGTCATGGCAGTGTCTGTCTGCTTAGTCTTCACCGTCACCATTGGGGTCTTTCCTTCCATCACAGCTAAGGTATCCACTACCCTTGGAAAGGAAAACAAATGGGGTAAGTGAAGCCAGGTGTGTGGTGGGCTAGGAGGAAACTGGAAACAAGCTAAATGGGAGGAAAGAAAGTGGGGCTTGAAGTAGTAGGGGTGCCTGAGGGAAAGGGAAGACCATTGTGCATGAAGGTTTGGATGCAGACACCAGTCTGGCTTGGAAGAGCATCCCAGCTCTTAGTGGGAAACTAGGAGGACCCTAGACCTGAAGGAGAGTCTCTGTGCAATCAGCTGGGCGTCCTGGGCTTGTCACTGACCTTCTTCCCCTCCTGCAGATCTCTACTTCATCTCAGTCTCCTGCTTCCTGATATTTAATGTCTTTGACTGGACGGGACGGAGTCTGACTGCTCTCTTCACATGGGTAAGCTGGCGGCAGGAAGCACTTTCCATCCCCATACCCTTTGACCATGGTTCTCACTGGGGCTGCCATCCATGGCTTGGAGGAGGAAGTAGGCACAGAGCTGACTCCTGCTCTGGCTGTAAGCCCTAAGCAGAGATTTAGAGGGTTACAGAAAGGGTTAGAGCTGAAAGCCACAGTATCATCCTGTTCTCCTCCCAGGCTTCTTTCAGCATGGTTTGGATGAAGCTGTCTCCTCTATTTCAGCCTTTGTAAACAAACCTTCACTGCAGCTATGCAAACAGCCAGGCAGGATGGCGGCAGTGAAAGAGGGTGAAAGACAGGGCAGCTTGAAATAAAACCTCTGGCCTCCGCACAGTACACAGCTGCTTTAAAGAGCATTATCCTGGCAGCAGAGCAGAACCACACCATGCAGCTCATGGAATTATCCCCTCCCATGCCCTGGTCCCTTGCTCTCATCTCGCTGTGCCTTGGGCTGAGCGGTGGGAGTCATGATGGCAGTGAGGAAGGGGTCTGTCTGTGTCTCTTCCTGCCCCTTGCCCACCCCCCAAGCGCTGTTTCCCCTGTATTGTTCAGGTTGTTTGTTTAGAGAAGTTCTTCACAGCAGCATGCAATGCAGGGTCTGTCCGGCCCTGGCTGTGCTGGGCTGCCCTGCTGCCTAGAGCTGCTTCTCCCCTGGCTATGGCTGCTGGCTGCCCCCAGCCTTGGCTGCAAGCTGCCTTGACTGGTGTCCAGGCCACAGCCCTAGTGGTGTGATGACCCAGCAGGGGACATTTCCAAAACAGCACTGGGTGGAAAGTCTGACTGTGGTGTGGTTTGTGCCTCATTTCCCTGGTTGGGGCCCTGCTCTGCAAGAAAAACATCTTGCTGCTCTCACTGGTTTTCCCACAGACACAACAGTTGGCATCATCTTTGCCATGTGTTCATGAAGTGTCCCATGGCTTTGCTAGCCAAGGAGGGGCTGCCACCTCCAGGGCAGCTGGGGGCTTCCTCTCACTTCAGACCACAGGGTCTTGTCATCATTTTCTCGCTGAGAGGATTCGGGAGAGAGCCAGGCACATCTTGTACCAGGGACTGCCTTCATCATAGCTGCACAACAGCATGGGGACAGTGCCTCTTGCTTTGTCCCAACTTTGCGCATCCAAAAACTCTCTTGGGATTTGGGGAGGCCATAACTCAATCCATGCCTTTCCCAGCACTGTCCAAAACAGTCCAAGCATAATCCCTTTCCCAGATTGCTGGATCTCGCCCCACTTGGCTGGGGGATGGCGTGGGAGGTTGGAGAGCTGTTTAAAGCCCAGTTTGCAGGCCATGGGGTGCCAGAGGCGATTCACCTCAGTTGGCCTTGGCCTGTGCAATGGTTTGCAGCAGGAAGAGGTTGCGTGTGTGTGCATAAGGCTGTCCTCACTCCCTGTTGTTTGCAGAAGGGGCTTAGCAGTTGATCCCAGACTCAGCTCTGTATTTTGGCTCTAGCACTGCTGCTCTCCAAGTCAGCTAAGGACGGGATTTGCAGGGCAGTGGCCAGTTGTGGTGGGACTGGTGGCCTGTCCATCTCCTCTGCACGCTGACTTCCTCACCACGAGTCCTGTACCCAGTCCCAGAGCAGCAGCTGGGCAGGGGGTGCTTTCCAGTCTGATGCAGCCCAAGAGAGGTAGGGAAGGAACAAGCAGTATCAAACTTCTCCATCTTTTCACCCTGGGGAGGGAATGTTTCCCACTCATAGCTATGCTAACAAATCTGAACAGTCCCTGTTGTTTTTCCTCTCTTTTTGAGGGACAAGAGCACACTAAGTGGGCGTTCTCTTCTGGGGAACGGCCAGGTACTGGGTGAATGTCTGGCTTGAGGAGAGAGTGACAGACTAATGAGTACAACCAGGGCTGGGAATACAGAGGGCAGAGCACTCTCAGCCTCAAGCAGCTATTACAGATGCAGGGAGAAACCTTGGAGCTGCATGCAGCAGGCTGCAGGAGCAGGACAGTGGTGGATGCCAGAGGATGGCAGGCAGAAGCTGTGGGTCTGGGAGCCCTGCACAGAGGGGCTCAGGAGCTACCCTGATCTGCCCCTTGTATCACTTGGTGATGTTGGAATTTGTTGCAGCAGAAAAAGTCCTGCAGAAGAGGGACAGCCTCTTTATAGCCCTTGCTGGCACGCCGGAGGATAGGGAACGCCCACTTCTCAGCTACACTCTGTCTCTCTCCTAGCCCGGGAAGGACAGCTGCCTCTTGCCGGTGATGGTGGTCTTACGTGTCATCTTCATCCCCCTTTTCATGCTGTGCAATGTGCAACCCCGAAACCACCTGCCCGTCATATTCTCTCACGATGCCTGGTACATCATCTTCATGATCTTCTTCTCCATCTCCAATGGCTACCTGGCCAGCCTTTGCATGTGCTTCGGGCCCAAGTGAGTAAGCTCTGGGGATGGGGGAAAATTTGGTTTCACCCATGGGTGGCAGCCCAAGTCCAGCCCTGGCATCTGGGTGGGCATCTGAGTAGGCTGCAACACTTCAGCACAGGGGTCAGGGAGGGGTGGCCTTCATGCTAGAGCTTGAGACAGCCTGCCTGAAGCATTTTGTCTTTTTTATGAGCCCATGATGTGGAGGTGGTTTCTTGGAGCGAGGTGGGGTTTCTTCTTGCCGTTCTGCAGCAGAACTGAGAGATGGGAGGAGACCCCAGCAGTAGCAGAAGAACACTGCTTCTGCCTCTGCTGGGGTCTCCTCCCATCTCTCAGTTGAACTCCAACAAGGGCGTGGGGCATGCGTCGTGAGGATGAGTCTGACACCTGTTTCTTTCCTAGGAAAGTACTTGCCCATGAAGCAGAGACAGCTGGAGCAGTCATGGCCTTTTTCCTGACGCTGGGCTTGGCCCTAGGAGCCGCTGTCTCTTTCCTGTTCCAAATTCTCATCTAGCAGAGGCACCCAGAGGGTGCAGGCATACCAAAATGGCTCCGCATCCTCCTCTGAGGCCCTGGACACCTCTGTGCTGTGGGGTGATAACACCTCACTCCTGCCCCTGCCAAATCGCGCTGCCACAGCAGATGTGCCATCCAGGGACGGTTCCACTCTTCCAGGGTTGGTGTGGCTCCTGCCATGCCTGGCTGTGTGATGCCTTCAGGCCTATGTGCCTTTGCCTTCCCCGTGTTGTGTGTAAAATTCCCAGGACCTCACTGAGGTCCATCTGCCTCCTGTGACACAGAAGTTCCCCAGCTCAAGGCCGAAAGCCATTGCAAGCCTCCTCCTCTCCGCCAGGCAGAGCTGAAGGCTGGTTTCCAGTGTTACTCCCCCTCCTGCTCTTATTGCAGGCATCCTCTCCCTCTCCTCTCCCTCCCCTCATCCTACACTGCAGCTTTTCTCCCACTGGAGACACTTGCAGATGGGGAAAACCCCAGCCGGCCTTGCCAGCCCCACACTGCCAGACCCTGGGCCGCTGGGTTTGAAGGGCGAGAGATATCCGTGTCCCGTCCACGCCAAGAGCCAGCACCGCGGCTCAGCGGATGAAGAGCTGTGCACCCTTTGCTTCTCCCTGCCCCCCTTGTTCAGCCCCCACATAACCGGTTGCTCATTCTGCCTTTGTTCGCTCTCCTCCCTCCGCAGGAGGAAGGCGGCGGTTCCCGGCTGCGGCAGTCGCGGCCTGCCCCCGGCTGCCCCCCGCGCTCTGTAAATGTATCTGTAAATGTACAGTTGCCTTTTTCTATAAAAAGACTGAAACGTGTGTCTGTGTCCGTCACTGTGGGAAAAGGGCACCTCGCAGTAACCGCAGTGCCGCCTGGTGCCGCGGAGGAGAACTGCACGGCCTCGCGGCGGTCCGCTCCCACACACCGGCCGGCGCCCCGGACCCGCAGAAGCCCGACCGCCACCGGGGGTCGCGTGGAACTCTCTGGAACACCGACCGCGCTCCTACTCTGCCGACACTGTGCTCCTCCGCGGGCCGCCGCCGTTAAAGGGGACAGGAGGTGGGCCCACCGAGCGGCCCGCAGCTTCACCCGACATCACCGCTGCGGGCGGCCGCGTTCTGCAGGGCCGTTTTAAGGCGGAAGGAACCGCCGGGCGGGGCGGGGCGCACCGTGCCTCTATAAGGAAGCCCAAGGGGGAGGTGAGGGTTCCTTTTTTGCACCGGCCGACTGCGGACGGTGAGGTTCGGGCGGCGCTGGGTCGAGGCTGGTCGGGTGGGCTGTTATCTCTGTAGCTATCGCTGCAGCCCTGGTACAGACGGCGTGGGGTTGCCTTGCAGATGCCCGAGGAAGTGCAGCATGGAGAGGAGGAGGTGGAGACGTTCGCCTTCCAGGCGGAGATCGCGCAGCTCATGTCGCTCATCATCAACACGTTCTACTCCAACAAGGAGATCTTCCTGCGGGAGCTCATCTCCAACGCCTCCGACGTGAGCCCTGGCCGCGGGAGGGTCTTCCTCTGCTGGGGGGCGGGGGGGCTGGGGCAGTCCTGAGGGGCTCAGCAGTGGGCCGAGGCACGTGGTGCTTGGCGGCGGCTGTCCGGTAGGGGGCGGCAGCGAGCGGGACCCGTTCTCTCCTAAAGGCGCTGGACAAGATCCGCTACGAGAGCCTGACCGAGCCCTCCAAGCTGGACAGCGGGAAGGACCTCAAGATCGACATCGTCCCCAACCCGCGGGACCGCACGCTCACCCTGCTGGACACCGGTATCGGGATGACCAAAGCCGACCTCATCAACAACCTGGGCACCATTGCCAAATCGGGTACCAAAGCCTTCATGGAGGCCTTGCAGGTGGGTTGCTTTTGGCTGCGTGGGATCTGTGGCCCCGCTGCCTTCCTTGCTGCGGGGGCTGCCGGCCTACCTGAGCGTGTTTCCACACTTCAGTAGCAGGGAGGTGCTGAGGGTAGGGCTGGCTGCTTGTTGTGTCTTTATCTGTGAGTGTGCTGATGCAGCTCTCTGCTGGTTGAAGCCGTTGCAAACGCTTCCTGTGTTCTTTCTCTCCCTCTGCCCTCACAGGCAGGCGCAGACATCTCCATGATTGGACAGTTTGGTGTGGGTTTCTACTCTGCCTACCTGGTGGCCGAGAAGGTGGTGGTCATTACCAAGCATAACGACGATGAGCAGTATGCTTGGGAGTCGTCAGCTGGGGGATCCTTCACTGTCCGGACTGACCATGGTACGTATGGCACAAAACCAGGTGTATTTCTGCTGGATGGGCAGTCCTTTTAATCCTTAACATTACATTATCAAGTAGCAGTTATGTTCCCAAAGCTGGTCCTGTTTATGTATTGCTCTTCTGCATCACGCCTTGAAACCCACAGCTTTGTCTTCTCACACAATAGGTGAGCCCATTGGACGGGGCACCAAAGTGATCCTGTATTTGAAGGAGGACCAGACAGAGTATTTGGAGGAGAGGCGTGTCAAGGAGGTGGTGAAGAAGCACTCCCAGTTCATTGGCTACCCCATCACACTTTATGTATGTGAGAAAAGTTCTGTGGGGACCCCTGGGAAAGCGGGAGGGAGGGAGGGATGGGAAATGTTGGAGGGGATGAAAGAAAGACAGCTACCATCTTTTGTGGCTAGAGGAAGTGAGGAATTGCAGGCAAACGTAGTTAATATCCAGACATGTACTCAGTCTTTGATCTATACAGCTGAATTAGCCATGGAGCATAGAGGGTTTTGTGCCCGCTGTCTTCTCAGACACACTGTTTCATTACATGAACGCTGCAAGGATTTGTAGGATTGACTGGGGAAAAAGCCCTGTTTCCTGACATTGTATGTATTGGGCAGTGATCTACACCCATGAGGATGCCCGTTTTGTTTGTCCTGAGAATAAAGATTTTCTGGTAGCGGTTGCTTGGGGCTAAAACTGTGTTTATGACCTTGATTCTTGTCCTTTCTTGGACAGGTGGAGAAGGAGCGTGAGAAAGAAATCAGTGATGATGAGACAGAAGAAGAGAAAGCTGAGAAAGAGGAAGAGACTAAGGATGAGGAGAAACCAAAAATTGAGGATGTGGGCTCTGATGAGGAGGAGGAGGGAGATAAAGGCAAGAAGAAAAAGACCAAGAAAATTAAGGAGAAATATATTGACCAGGAGGAGCTGAACAAGACCAAACCTATTTGGACCCGCAACCCTGATGACATCACCCAGGAGGAGTATGGAGAGTTCTACAAAAGTCTCACCAATGACTGGGAGGACCACCTGGCGGTCAAGGTGGGTCCTGGGCCACCCTGGCTTCCTGGAGGGACAGAGGGCCCCTTTCTAGCTAGCTTGTACCCAAAGCCACCATTTTGGTACAAATCTGAAGGTTCCTGGGCCACTTGATGCTGCAGCTTCTGTTGATTTTTGTGCAGGTGGAGGGGTGGGCAGTGGCAGACTAGGAACTTGAACAGGAGAATATTGGGTCTCAGAGAACTATGACTTCTCTGTCCAGGCCTACTGGATGCTAGAGAAGCCTGGACATGCTGGGGGTAGCAGTAGGGCTGAAGAGGGGGAAATGCTGGCTGTCTTGCAGGAGACCGTGCTGTGCTCCTCTGCCAGCCCTAGTGCTGAGGAGCAGCAGTTCAGCCTGCCCAGTGTAGGTGCTTGCAGCAAAGTGTAGAAGGGACAGACGGTGGCATTTCCTCATTTCTGGCCCCACAGCACTTCTCTGTGGAAGGGCAACTGGAGTTCAGGGCCCTGCTCTTCATCCCACGCCGTGCTCCTTTTGACCTCTTCGAGAACAAGAAGAAGAAGAACAATATTAAGCTGTATGTGAGGCGTGTCTTCATTATGGACAGCTGTGATGAGCTCATTCCTGAGTACCTGAGTAAGAGCCCCCCTGCCTCAGTTTCCCAGGTTGAGCTGGGACACCCCCAGCCTCATTGTGGTTCTCAGTGCCAGGTGGCTGGCTGAGATGCCAGCAGCAGTGGGCTGACAGCAGTCTGTGTCTTAACACTTCTGTTATAATGAGATCTTAATTTCTGTTTCCCTTACTTAGACTTCATCCGAGGTGTTGTGGACTCAGAAGATCTACCTTTGAACATATCTCGTGAGATGTTGCAGCAGAGCAAAATCCTCAAGGTGATCCGCAAAAACATTGTGAAAAAGTGCTTGGAGCTCTTCACTGAGTTGGCAGAGGACAAAGAGAACTACAAGAAATTTTATGAGGCCTTTTCCAAGAATCTGAAGGTGAGAGCTTGGACATAGTGCACTGGGAGGAGGGAGGGACTTGAGACCCACCTGCCTTAGGGGCAGGCTTGTTCCAGCATCACATCAGGGTGTTGGGGTAGAGGTGGGCCTCAGAAGTGCCCCAGAGATCCTCTGTGGGCAGTTGGACTCTTATGTTAGGAGGTGGTTGTGTCTTAGGGATAGCTAAGTGTATGTAAGCTCCATTCTGGAAACCACATGCATGCTTTCTGCCCCCAGCTGGGCATCCATGAGGACTCAACGAACCGAAAGCGCCTTTCAGAGCTGCTGCGCTACCACACATCTCAGTCAGGTGATGAGATGACTTCACTTTCAGAGTATGTGTCCCGTATGAAGGAGTCACAGAAGAGTATCTACTACATCACAGGTGAGCCAGATCTCTGCTGATGAAGCGGGTTATCTGTCTACCAGCTTTAAATTCTTCCAGGCAAATCTTGCTGCCTTCAGCAGGCCCTCTCTGCTGAAAGACAGACCATCTCTGGGTGCTGGGGCAAGGTTATCAGGCCCAGAGCCCTAGCTGCAGCCAACTTTACATAAGGGGCTCTGAGAAATCGGTATTTTCTATCACACTGTAAGCAGCTCCTAAATCTTTGTGACATCCTGCTTCTAAACCCATAAACACAGGGGAGAGCAAGGAACAGGTTGCCAACTCAGCCTTTGTGGAGCGTGTGAGGAAGCGTGGCTTTGAGGTGGTGTACATGACGGAGCCTATTGATGAATACTGCGTGCAGCAGCTCAAGGAGTTTGATGGGAAAACCCTAGTGTCAGTTACTAAGGAGGGGTTGGAACTACCTGAGGATGAAGAGGAGAAAAAGAAGATGGAGGAGAGCAAGGCTAAGTTTGAGACCCTCTGTAAACTCATGAAGGAAATCCTGGACAAGAAGGTGGAGAAGGTGAGATGGTTGAGGAGCTCAGCCCAGGGCTGTGTCCTGGGCTGGTGGGAGGAGGGCTGGGCCCCTCCGTGATGCAGACAAGGGTCTCAGCTCAATGCATGCCTCTGATCTCCCTCATCTCCTGCAGAGGAGCCGCTAAAGGAGACTGAAGGTCCCAGTATGCACTGCACCATCTTGCTCTAAGCAGCCAGGCTGCAGGCGAGGGGCACTGACCCAAATACGTGCATTGATGGGAGACGGTAAGTGTGGGAAATGCAGTGGGTACTGAAGGTGCTGGCTGAGCTGTCCAAACTGTTCTGTCAAGCGATTTTGGAGCTGTTTTGAAGGATCCCTGTTTGCTTTGGGCTGTCCTCAGGTGAACCTGGGATGATTACATGGGGTGTTGTGCGCTTGGGCTGGGCTGGGTCCGTTCTTGGGTATGCTGGGAGACTTGCTCTGCTAACTCTTGGCTCCCTTGTCAGGTAACTATCTCAAACCGGTTGGTCTCATCTCCCTGCTGCATTGTCACCAGCACATACGGTTGGACAGCAAACATGGAGCGCATCATGAAGGCTCAGGCACTGCGGGATAACTCTACCATGGGCTATATGATGGCCAAGAAGCACCTGGAAATCAACCCTGACCACCCAATTGTGGAAACTCTCCGCCGGAAGGCTGATGCTGACAAGAATGACAAAGCTGTCA